TAATCAGTCATAACAATGAGTAAAACCAAAGACTGTGCAACGAAACAATGTTATTGCTAAAGAATTGAAATTTTATAATAGAATTTTAGTATTTTAACTTTTGCTGCAAGAAAGAACATTTTGATGTTCTGGATAAGTGAGGAAGCTCCTTCAATCAAAAATGGCCTAACTTTGTGAAAGAACTCATAACATGCATATTACATTCTTCTACAGACGTATTCAGTTGGATATGGACCCTATTTGGATCATGTTTGTCTCATCTTGCACTATTGCTTACATTTCTCCTGAAAGCTGTTGTGAAGCCCAAAACAATAACCATATTCACGTGAATGTTTATCTATCTTCCCCTGTAACCTATCTAAATCGTTGATTTTATTTGATTAATAATTTATTTAGTAATTGTACATTTAAGGTTTGCCTGAGCTGTTGACCTTTTTCTGTTTTGTTTAGTTTGCTTTGTTTGTTCTGTTGGAACTTCATTAACAAAAATGTTAATGCAAATATTAAAAAAAAAAATTGTGTCTTTTGTAATTAAAAATGTAAATAAAGCTCTGTAAGTAGAGAAGTGGTCAAGTACAAAGATGGCAAGTGTGGGGATTTGGACAGGCCCATAAAAAATGTGCAGACTGGTGCTTCCCCAAGATACATACACTCTACAGGTCCAGGGGAGAATCAAGAATGATCAATTAAGGTAAAAGGGGTGGGGCCACCTTAACTCAAAGCTGTACAAAATGGGAAAGCCAAGAACTGGTGTGTGTTGAGGTGATTGTGTTAATGATTGTTAGGATGGGGATTTTGAAAGTTGTGTTAGTGGTGGCTGCTATGGTTGCATTTGATCTGCCTGATGTCTTGGGAAGTTTGAGGAACAGTCATAGTCCGAGAAGCATGGGGCCAAAATCAGATCCAGCTTCCAGAAGTCCTGCCCTTTCTCCTCTAGGGCTCTGGAACCCTTTGCAAGTGGCTTCTCAGTTTCAGAGTCCTCTGGGTCCCGACTCCAAAAGCCTTGCACAGGATCCTTTTGGCCTTCAGGAGAAGCTGCTGTTGCAGGGTCCAGTGAAGCCTTTGGATTGGAGGTATCCCATCGTTCCAGAGGTGCAGAGCGAGGTGGCGGTGGACTTCCAGTTGAGGCAACCCGTGACTCCCAACAGCGTAGCGGTTCAATGTGGAGAGAACCGGGTTCTCGTAGAGGTCCAGCAGGACTTCTTCAGCAATGGTCAGTTGATCCAGCCAACTGGTCTGTCTTTAGGTGGATGTCCTGTTGTTGGTCAGGATCCTGTTTCAAGAGTGCTCATCTTTGACTATGAATTACAGGACTGCAACAGTGTGCTGATGGTAAGAACTGAAATCTAATTTGATTATTTGTGGTGACCTTTGAAAGAATGTCAGTTCACTTGGTTTTACAATGCCAGTTAAGACAAAGTTCTATCTATTTGAATGGGTAAATCCTCTTATTTTCAAGCTACTTGCCTTTTAAATAACCCTTCAAACCAACATCTTCTGTAAACTATCCCATAAATAGTATGGAAGAAGCTTAGAAACAAAGTATGCATGTTCAATCTTAAGTGCATGTCTGTAAATCATTGACGATATCTGGCAACACGGGTGCTTCTGAAGGGAGCTTTGGTGATGTGAAATTACTAATTAGTGTTTTTTTTTTTCTCTTTAAGAGTTCCACCATATTGCACAGTGCCCCTTCTCTTATTCATAGAAATATTAGTGCATAGTCTTTTTGTGTATTAAATCTCTGGGATGACCCTCTTGGTAACCACAATCTTTTTACAGATGAATGAGGATGAGCTCGTCTACACCTTCTCTCTTACCTACACCCCTGAGGCACTTGCAGGTACTCCGATTACACGGACCAATGGTGCAATTGTTGGTGTTCAATGCCATTATCAAAGGTAGGGGATCTCTGTGACTTTCTGCACTTTCTCATTCAACTGGGAGACCATTTAATGGGTACTTCATGAACCGCAGGCTCCAAAATGTAAGCAGTGATGCCTTGAGGCCAACATGGGTCCCTTATGCCTCAACAGAGGCTGGTGAAGAAGTCTTGGTCTTCTCCCTGAAGATCATGATGGGTTGGTACCTTTTTTTTTTTTTCTTTTTTTTTAAATTAAAAAAAACACTTACCCTTGCTATTTTGGCTGTGCCTAAAATGTTTTTTTTTTTTGTGCGTGTGTGTGTAGATGATTGGTTGTATGAGAGGCCTTCATACTCCTATTTCCTGGGTGGTGTTATTAACATTGAGGCATCTGTGAAGCAGTATAATCATGTGCCTCTGCGTGTGTTTGTGGACCGCTGTGTGGCCACTCAAGTACCTGATGTGAACTCCCTTCCGAGATATTCCTTCATTGAGAATCATGGGTATGGTCATGGCCCTTGATGTGGTAGGACTGTTTATGTTGCCTTTTGTAACTGTCACAGTCATGGGTAAGGTCTAGTTGCTTGATGCTCTACAGTTGACATTCATGAGTTGCTCTTTGTGTTGGTTTTGTCGTCAGGTGCTTTGTGGATGCCAAAACTACAGCTTCCAGCTCCCGCTTCATGCCTCGGTCCCAAGCTGACAAGATCCAGTTCCAGCTGGAGGCGTTCATGTTCCAGGAGGGCAACAGTCCTTCTGTATGTACTATGAATATCACGAGTTAACTTGACGACTCCTCCCATCTGCTTTGGTTTTGTGACCTGTCTGTTCTCTCTTCCAGATCTACATAACATGTATCCTGAAGGCAACTATTGCTTCTGCACCCAGTGATGCTCAGCGCAAATCCTGTTCCTTTGCCAATGGGTATGTGAGGTTTTTGGTGGGGCTGGTGTTAAGTGTACTTCTCATGCTGAAGGCTCCGTGTCTTTGTATGGTTCCAGATGGTTTGCTGCTGATGGAAACGACCAAGTTTGTGGTTGCTGTGACTCAACATGTGGTCCTGATGGTGAATTTGCTGCTTCTCCCTATGGAGGTTGGTAGCGTTTGCTCTTTCTAAGGTTGCTTTTGATTCAAGTGCTCTAACTTTGCTTTTCTTCTCTCTAGGCATTCAGTGGGAAGGCAAGGCCTCACTTGGTCCTGTAATGGTTCAAGGGCAAAAGAGTTCTCAATAAACTGAAATCAATCCTCGATTTGTTTGACTTGTCATTTTGCTGCATGTCTTGTTGAACTTTAAGAATAAAACCACAAACTTTAAGAATAAAACCCTAATCACTGAAAGTCTAAAGAGTTTATCACTAGCCTATATGTATGAGAGGGAAAGAGACAGTGTGTCATTAAAAAATGTCATAGAGAATGTGTAAATGCCAATATAAGGTAAATGGAGGTGGAGAAGGGGTGCTTTGGAGGCTGAGTGCTGGAGATTATTCGGAGATCGGTTACGGATCAAAGCGTGTGCTGACATGGAGTAAATAAAGCCTTTTTACTTGATGCGTCTCCACGAGCATGGCTAAAATGACAAATGGGCTCTATGCGCGGCGGTATTTCCGGTGAAGCATTAGGGATGCTCGATAACTTCCGCTGATCGCAGAGTCCAATGCAATACCGAGAATTTATATTGAATTTTATACTCCATGGTTAGACTAACGAAACGTTAGTCACAAAAACAGATAAAACAGACCCCCCTCGTTGTGTTTATGCTTCTTTTTAAAATTGTATTAAATAAATATAACTATATATAAAATTACATCTAAACGTATGTACGTTTATTTCAAAGACTGGAGAACAGTAAATTTTGAAGACTCTGCCATAATCCCGTTTTCCTCGGTTTTCCTCCGCTTTAATCTCCACAAAAACCCATTGGACATTTTGCCAAAGCTTTTTTGTAACCGCGTGTGTGGCGCCACCTCCGAGGATGAACGACTTCAAACCAAATGTCAGAGTTTGCTCTGACTGTCGCAACTCTGTCATTATGTTAAGCCTGCCCGCCGACATAAGATTGAGTTGGGTGTTTCCAGTTAAAGCATCTATGAAGAGTTCCTAGACCACACTGGCAGCAAAATGATTTTCACTGCTGCTAGAGTGCTTCTAGATCAGGTTGAACTGCTTTTGGCTATCAAAAATTACCCCATTCTGCCAATGTGGTGAAACCGTTAGTTGTCATGTACTCTTCAAATCCCATATAGCATGCAATGCATGCATATTCAGTATTGGAAACAATGTGGGTTTGGTGGACATTAAGGTCACTGAGCTTTTTTAAGACATGAGACAGTCCTGTGCATGCACTTTATCTCATGTAAGTGTGGTCAAGTGGGTAAGACATCAAGTTTGGATTTTTGCACAGGCACTTTGGCTCTCTTATCTGACACATTGAGGGGGCATTTACATAATTTTCAAATAAAAACAAATGGTTTCTTTACATGAAATCATTTTAGGGGGCCTAAAAAAAGTTCACACTTTTGAAAAATGTATTTAAGTGCAAGTTTTTAAAAGTTTGTACAAAAGTACATTATACACCCACATATTTAGTCTGTATAAGTCAGTGAGTTGAATAAACCACCAAGTATAAATATGCAGAGACAAGAGAAAAGGATTATTAAAAGACTGACTACATTACAAAACCCACAGTGCTTGATGGGACAACCCTTTAGAGCTATTTTGGAAAGATTTGCTTGCTAATTTAAGAGCATTCAATTTCAGATCTGACATTAACTGAGAGCTTCCCCTCTGTGGTCGTTAAAAATCCAATGGCACTTCTGGTAAAGAGTGTCCCTACACCCATAAGTCCTGTGTGGTGCACACACTGGCACCACTGTACAATGAATGCTGGTGGTGTTTGAATTCGGGATAGGAATTCGGTTAAACGGGTAACAAGCCAACAGCATCAGAAGCACAACCTTGAGCTTTCTCTAGCGGTCTTTAAAAGGTTCTTCATTCCCTATGGAGGAGAGTGAAGTTAAGAACTTCAACAACCCAATGGCTGCATGCTATATGGGACAGTTAGTTTCACCACATTTACAAAGCCAAAAGTAGTTCAACCAGACATGCAGCAAAATGACAATTCAGGTACAACCAAGGATTGATTTGTCAGTTTTATTGAAAACTCTTTTGCCCTTGAACCATTACAGGACCAAGTGAGGCCTTTCCTTCCCACTGAATGCCTAGAGAAAAAAGCCAAGTTAGAGCACTTGAACCAAAACAACCTTAGAAAGAGCAAACGCTACCAACCTCCATAGGGAGAAGCAGCAAATTCACCATCAGGACCACATGTTGAGTCACAGCAACCACAAACTTGGTCATTTCCATCAGCAGCAAACCACCTACAAGACAAAGAAATGGAGCCTTCAACATGAAGTCATCTTAGCATGCAAATAAAGATAAAAAAAAAAAAAGTATACCCGTTAGCAAAGGAACAGGATTTGCGCTGAGCATCACTGGGTGCAGAAGCAATAGTTGCCTTCAGGATACATGTTATGTAGATCTGCAAGAGATAAGACAGGTCACAAAACCAAAGAAGATGGGAGGAGAAGTCAAGTCAACTCATTCATAGTACATATAGAGGACTGTTGCCCTCCTGGAACATGAACGCCTCCAGCTGGAACTGGATCTTGTCAGGTTGGGACCGAGGCATGAAGCGGGAGCTGGAAACTGTAGTTTTGGCATCCACAAAGCACCTGACAACAAAACCATCACAAAGAGCAAATCATGAATATCAACCTTAGAGCATCAAGCAACTAGACCTTGCCTATGACTGTGACAGTTACAAAAGGCAACATAAACAGAACTACCACATCAAGGGTCATGACCTTACCCATGATTCTCAATGAAGGAATATCTCGGAAGAGAGTTCACATCAGGTACTTGAGTGGCCACACAGCGGTCCACAAACACACGCAGAGGCACATGACTGTACTGCTTCACAGATGCCTCAATGTTAATAACACCACCCAGGAAATAGGAGTATGAAGGCCTCTCATATATCCAATCATCTACACAAAAAAAATATATATAATCACGGCAAAGGTTTATTTTATTGGAAAAAAAAGGGGTACCAACCCATCATGATCTTCAGGGAGAACACCAAGACTTCTTCACCAGCCTCTGTTGAGGCATAAGGGACCCATGTTGGCCTCAAGGCATCACTGCTTACATTTTGGAGCCTGTGGTTCATGAAGTACCCATTAAATGATCTCTCAGTTGCAGGAGAAAGTGCAGAAAGTCACAGAGATCCCCTACCTTTGATAATGGCATTGAACACCAACAGTTGCACCATTGGTCCGGGTAATCGGAGTACCTGCAAGCGCCTCAGGGGTGTAGGTAAGAGAGAAGGTGTAGACAAGCTCATCCTCATTCATCTGTAAAAAGACTGTGGTTACAAAGAGGGTCATCCCAAAAACTTAAACCAAGAGAAGATGCAATATGTGGGAATTCCTAAACAGCAAATCACCAATTAGTAAATTCTATATATCAGCACAACTGCCCTCAGAAGCTCCAGTGCTGCCAGAGATCCTCAATGGTTTGGAGACACGCACTAAGGACTGAACATGCACATTTTGCTGTTCCAGGTTAAAAACTAGCTTGAACACTATTAAGGCCCAATATGTGCCGTTCTTGTTTTATTCTTTAATGGGAGAGTTTAAGTCAGATATTGGTTGGCATAGACAGACAGAACTTGGTCTTAGCTGCCATAGCATTGTAAATGCAAGAGAACTGGCTTTCCTTGAAAAAGGTCTACTGCCACAACAAATAATCCATTAAGATGTATCTGTTCTTACCATCAGCACACTGTTGCAGTCCTGTAATTCATACTCAAAGATGAGCACTCTTGCCCCAGGATCCTGACCAACAACAGGACATCCACCTAAAGACAGACCAGTTGGCTGGATCAACTGACCATTGCTGAAGAAGTCCTGCTGGACCTCTACGAGAACCCGGTTCTCTCCACATTGAACCGCTACGCTGTTGGGAGTCACGGGTTGCCTCAACTGGAAGTCCACCGCCACCTCGCTCTGCACCTCTGGAACGATGGGATACCTCCAATCCAAAGGCTTCACTGGACCCTGCAACAGCAGCTTCTCCTGAAGGCCAAAAGGATCCTGTGCAAGGCTTTTGGAGTCAGGACCCAGAGGACTCTGAAACTGAGAAGCCACTTGCAAAGGGTTCCAGAGCCCTAGAGGAGAAAGGGCAGGACTTCTGGAAGCTGGATCTGATTTTGGCCCCATGCTTCTCGGACTATGACTGTTCCTCAAACTTCCCAAGACATCAGGCAGATCAAATGCAACCATAGCAGCCACCACTAACACAACTTTCAAAATCCCCATCCTAACAATCATTAACACAATCACCTCAACACACACCAGTGCTTGGCTTTTCCATTTTGTACAGCTTTGAGTTAAGGTGGCCCCACCCCTTTTACCTTAATTGATCATTCTTGATTCTCCTCTGGACCTGTAGAGAGTATGTATCTTGGGAAAGCTCCAGTCTGCACATTTTTTATGCGCCTGTCCAAATAGTACCCAACAGTATTTAACAAAAGACCCATTTTAAAAATGTTGATGTTTCTATTAACCCTCTGGGCTCTGCTGTGTTTTCTGACATGCTCAGATATTTGTGCTTATTTCTTTTAATTGTAACATTTTCATGGCTAAAGTCTGATTACACTGCATTCAGCCAAACTCTGAAACAATAATAAGTAAGCAGCATGTGCAGTTGTGGTCAGAATAAATGGTACCCCTGGTAAATATGATAAATCTGCATTGTTTATCTTTCTGATCTTGCATTAAAAAAAATGCACAAATCGAACTTTCGTTGAAGTAAATGTCTGTGCGGGGGGGGGGGGGGGTGAAAGTGGGTGGAAAATCACATTGTGAAGTAAATATTTTTCTCCAAAGCACATGGTCAGCTTTATTGGCACCCCTAGAATGTTTTGCGAGTAAAATATCTCTGAAGTATATTCCTATTAATATTTACCTTTTTCTTAGCCCACCAGGGTGACTAGGAACACAATATTGTCTAGCTATGACTTCTTGTTTCACAGGAGTTTAAATATGAGGAAACACAAAGGCCAAATTCCCTTAATCAGTCATAACAATGAGTAAAACCAAAGACTGTGCATTGAAACAATGTTATTGCTAAAGAATTGAAAATCCCCATTTTGACCATCAGTAATTAAGAAGTTCCAATCAACTTAAGATGTTACGAATCTGCCAGGAAGAGGACATGTGTCTATATTGTCTTAATTCTCTGTGAGGAGGAAAGTTTGAGTGGCTAAAGACTCTCCAAGGATCACAAATGGAGAATTGCAGAGATTACATGAGTCTTGGGGGTCAGGAAGCCTAAAGAAATATTTCAAACAACCCCTACATCCCCACATGTTGTTTGGGAGGGTTTCAAGAAAAATCCTTCTTGCTCCTCTAAAAATAAACTCAAGCAATTCAGTTGTCAGACATGACTGGAACTTCAAGAGGGACCGGATTCTATGCTCAGATGAGACAAAAAAGGGCTTTTTGGAAGCAAACGGTTAAATACTGATGGATCTTGTTTTTTTTTGTTTTTTTTGCTGGAGGTCCTGGACATCTTGTTCAGAGACATGGCATTATGGATTCTAGCAAATACCAACAGATAAAAAAAACCCTGACTGCCTCTGCTAGAAATCCTATAATGGGCTGTGGTTGGATCTTCCAACAAGATAGCGGTCTAAAAACATCCATCTTTATCAACACAAAAAATGGAGATAAAATGGAGATGGTCCTCACTGCAGAACACGAAATCCAGGGGAACTTCCCACACAGTCCCACCTGATAAAGCCATTATGGGAGGGTCTTTGTCATCCCAATTGTGAAACACATCAATATTCATGATGATTCAAGTCTGTTCGCAGAGAGCTTTACACAAAACATGCCTGTAACTAGGTGTGATGTTGTGGGAAGAAGGAGGTGGGAACCGGAGAACAATCAACAATTTTTATAATAAATAAACAAATACAAAAACAAAAGTAAAGAGCCAAACATAATAAAACAAACCATCAAATAAAATCCAGGTCGGGCCTCTCTCAATCTCCACTGTCGTCGCTCCTAGTCTAGATTGAATCTAGACTACATGATACACTTTTTAAAATGACAAGTGACAGTGACAATTTTTTTTCCACCACAAACAACACATAAACGTCATCTCAAAACTAAAAAAATTTAAAATACTTGCTGTTGACATATTATTGTTTCAGAGTTTGTGCTGAAGCCAGTGTAATCAGACTTTAGCCATGAACATGTTACAATTAAAAGAAATAAGCACTAATGTCTGAGCATGTCAGAACAGGACCCTGAAAACACATCAGACCCCAGAGGGTTAATACATACATCAACCTTTTTAAATTGGGTCTTTTAGACACAGAAAATCTTAGAGAGATGTGGAAAAATGATTTTGCAGTAAATATCTCTGGAGAGGATTGGGATTTAGTCTGGGATCATGCCAAAAGAATATCAGTGTGTAACAGAGCATGTGCTATTCAATTGAAAATAATACGTAATACTACATATCATATCAATAATACTACATATCACCCCTTATATCAGAAATAAAAATGGAGCCATAACTTTCCCCCAACTGCTCAAACTACAAAATATCAGTCGTAATTATATTCACTGTATCTGGTCTTGTCACAGAATTCAGTTGTTTTGGAAGAAAATTGCAGACCATATTGGCAATATTCTGGGAATGATAATTAATGTTGATCTTTGTTAATTTATTATAGGTCTGCCGACTGGTATTATTTATAAAAAATTTCATAAAAGACTTTTTAGTATTTTAATTTTTGCTGCAAGAAACAACATTTTGATGTTCTGATGCTCTTGAAAGGTGTTGTGAAGCTCAAAACAAGAAACCTATTCATGTGAACATTTATCTATCCTCCTCTGTAACCTATCTAAATCTTTGATATTATTTGATTAATAATTTATTCGATAATTGTACATTTAAGGTTTGCCTGAGCTGTTGTCCTTTTTCTGTTTTGTTTAGTTTGCTTTGTTTGTTCTGTTGGAACATCATTAACAAAAATGTCAATACAAATATTCAAAAAATAAAAAAAGGTGTCTTTTCTAATTTAAATTTAAATAAAGCTCTGTAAGTAGAGAAGTGGTCAAATGCAAAGATGGCAAGTGTGGGGATTTGGAAAGGCCCATAAAAAAATGTGCGGGGGTGCTTTTCCCGAAAGCATTGTTAGCCAACTATGGTCGCAAGTTGGTCGCAATTTCCATTGAACTCTATTGGGAACGACGTAACTTGCGACCATAGTTGGCTAACGATGCTTTCTGGAAACGCACCCCAGACTGGTGCTTCCCCAAGATAAAACACTCTACAGGTCCAGAGGAGATGTAATGATCAATTAAGGTAAAAGGGGTGGGGCCACCTTAACTCAAAGCTGTATAAAATGGGAAAGCCAAGCACTGGAGTGTGTTGAGGTGTTTGGGTCAAAATTTGTTAAAATGGGGTTCCTGAAAGTTGTGTTAGTGGTGGCTGTAATTGCTGCATTTGATCTGCCTGATGTCTTGGGAAGTTTGAGGTACAGTCATAGTCCAAGAAGCATGGGGCCAAAATCAGATCCAGCTTCCAGAAATCCTGCCCTTTCTCCTCTAGGGCTCTGGAACCCTTTGCAAGTGGCTTCTCAGTTTCAGAGTCCTCTGGGTCCTGACTCCAAAAGCCTTGCACAGGATCCTTTTGGCCTTCAGGAGAAGCTGCTGTTGCAGGGTCCAGTGAAGCCTTTGGATTGGAGGTATCCCATCGTTCCAGAGGTGCAGAGCGAGGTGGCGGTGGACTTCCAGTTGAGGCAACCCGTGACTCCCAGCAGCGTAGCGGTTCAATGTGGAGAGAACCGGGTTCTCGTAGAGGTCCAGCAGGACTTCTTCAGCAATGGTCAGTTGATCCAGCCAACTGGTCTGTCTTTAGGTGGATGTCCTGTTGTTGGTCAGGATCCTGGGGCAAGAGTGCTCATCTTTGAGTATGAGTTACAGGACTGCAACAGTGTGCTGATGGTAAGAACAGATACATCTTAATGGGCTTTTAGTTGTGGTAGAGTACCTTTTCAAGGAAAGTTAGTTTACTACAATGCCAGGGGAGCTGAGATTAATTTTGATATTTGAATGTGTAATTCCTGAATTTAAGCTATTTGCCTTTTAAATAACCCTTCAAACCAACATCTCATGTAAACCATCCCATTATTGGTATGAAAGGAGTTTAAGAAACAAGAGCACTAAATCTTGGGCCTTAATGATGTCAATGGCCTTCTTGGTAACCACAATCTTTTTACAGATGAATGAGGATGAGCTTGTCTACACCTTCTCTCTTACCTACACCCCTGAGGCGCTTGCAGGTACTCCGATTACCCGGACCAATGGTGCAATTGTTGGTGTTCAATGCCATTATCAAAGGTAGGGGGATCTCTATGACTTTCTGCACTTTCTCATTCAACTGGGAGATCATTTAATGGGTACTTTCATGAACTGCAGGCTCCAAAATGTAAGCAGTGATGCCTTGAGGCCAACATGGGTCCCTTATGCCTCAACAGAGGCTGGTGAAGAAGTCTTGATGTTCTCCCTGAAGATCATGATGGGTTGGTACAGGTTTTTCTTTCGTTCAAAAAAATAACATTACCCATGCTTTTGTGGCTGTGCCTAAAATGTGACTATTTTTGTTTAGATGATTGGTTGTATGAGAGGCCTTCATACTCCTATTTCCTGGGTGGTGTTATTAACATCGAGGCATCTGTGAAGCAGTACAATCATGTGCCTCTGCGTGTGTTTGTGGACCGCTGTGTGGCCACTCAAGTACCTGATGTGAACTCTCTTCCGAGATATTCCTTCATTGAGAATCATGGGTAAGGTCATGGTTCTTGATGTGGTAGGACTGTTTAAGTTGCCTTTTGTAACTGTCACAGTCATGGGTAAGATCTAGTTGCTTGATGCTCTACAGTTGACATTCATGATTTGCTCTTTGTGATGGTTTTGTCGTCAGGTGCTTTGTGGATGCCAAAACTACAGCTTCCAGCTCCCGCTTCATGCCTCGGTCCCAAGCTGACAAGATCCAGTTCAAGCTGGAGGCGTTCATGTTCCAGGAGGGCAACAGTCCTTCTGTATGTACTATGAATGAGTTAACTTGACTTCTCCTCCCATCTGCTTTGGTTTTGTGACCTGTCTGTTGTCTCTTCCAGATCTACATAACATGTATCCTGAAGGCAACTATTGCTTCTGCACCCAGTGATGCTCAGCGCAAGTCCTGTTCTTTTACCAATGGGTATGGGAGTTGTGTTGTGTGTGTTTTTTATTTTGGGGGGGGGGGGGTGGTGGTATTAAGGTGAGAAAAAGTTCC